CCTTATTTCTAAACTACCAACAGTGATTCTAGCACTTATCACTTCTACTTATAAAACACAGAAGTAATTTAGGTTGTAAAATTTAGCTTGTCTGAGCTTCTAGGAGTGTCTGACGTCACCCTCACTAGGCTTCCCCTCGCTAGGCTGCTCCTCGCTAGTCAACACTATCTTCACCTTATCTATGCTATTTCTGCTCTAATTCTGGTAATAGCTTGCAGGAGTGAGTGACCAGTATCTAACAGTGACGCAAGGCAGGGTTCAGAACCCCCAAAAACAACCCCAACAGGTGAGTGATACTTAAGCTGGCAGTGATGCGATGACAAGTTGCCAGATGCTGATGACGTAGCCTTCTATCACTATTTTGAAAATTCTTCACCTGTGATCTTTATAACCGTATATGCTCATGCATGCCACGTCCCTCAGTGTCACTTATGATAGAGTACACTTCACTTATATTGGAATACACTTCACATTCGGTGTTACACTTTATATGTATAATGTCACACAACTGTTGTGACGTCACTGTTTCAGCAGGCCTAATGCCACCTTCCCTTGTTATATATTATATTTTTCCTTTCTACTTTTGCTTATTAACTTTTTCACTCTCACTGTATGGTGCCCCACATTTCACTTGTTATCCAATCTCTCGAAATTCTTGAACACCCGCTTCCACACTCACTTGAATCTTTGTATATTTGAATCTGTGTAGCAACAGAAGCCTACTATCCACTAACGGTTTGACACTTTGAAATATTAAAGATTTCAGGCTTCCTCTCGACTTTTTTTAACTAATAACTCTGGTTATCACTCGTAGGATTGTTCACTGACGTTGTCACTACCTCTGATTACTGCTAGCAGTTGTTGCACGCCTTAAAAACCACTAAAGTTCTCGGAGCCTTGTGACCCACGTCTGCTGACTGACTGTGTGTGTGTGTGTGTGTGTGTGTGTGTGTGTGTGTGTGTGTACTCACCTAATTGTACTCACCTAATTGTGGTTGCAGGGGTCGAGACTCAGCTCCTGGCCCTGCCTCTTCACTGATCGCTACTAGGTCCTCTCTCTCTCTGCTTCCTGAGCTTTGTCATACCTCTTCTTAAAACTATGTATGATTCCTGCCTCCACTACATCACTTGCTAGGCTATTTCACTTCCTGACGACTCTATGACTGAAGAAATACTTCCTATCGTCCCTGTGACTCGTCTGAGTCTTCAGCTTCCAGTTGTGACCCCTTGTTTCTGTGTCCCCACTCTGGAACATCCTATCTCTGTCCACCTTGTCTATTCCCTGCAGTATCTTGTATGTCGTTATCATGTCTCCCCTGACCCTTCTGTCCTCCAGTGTTGTCAGTCCGATTTCCCTCAACCTTTCCTCATACAACATTCCCCTGAGCTCTGGGACTATCCTTGTTGCAAACCTTTGTACTTTCTCTAACTTCTTGACGTGCTTGACCAGGTATGGGTTCCAGACTGGTGCTGCATACTCCAGTATGGGTCTAACATACACAGTGTACAGTGTCTTTAACGATTCCTTATTAAGGTATCGGAACGCTATTCTCAGGTTTCCAGGCGCCCATAAGCTTCAGCAGTTACTTGGTTGATGTGTGCCTCCGGTGACGTGCTCGGTGTTATGGTCACCCCAAGGTTTTTCTCCCTGAGTGAGGTCTGTAGTCTTTATCCACTTAGCCTATACTCTGCCTGCGGTCTTCTTTGCCCCTCCCCAATCTTCATGACTTTGCATTTGGCAGGATTGAATTCGAGAAGCCAGTTTCTGGACCACATGTCCAGCCTGTCCATGTCTCTTTGCAGTCCTGCCTCATCCTCATCCGATTTAATTCTTCTCATCAATTTCACATCATCTGCGAATAGGGACACTTCAGAGTCTATTCCTTCCATCATGTCATTCGCATATATCAAAAATAGCACTGGTCCTCGAACTGACCCCTGTGGGACCCCGCTCGTCACAGGCGCCCACTGTGATACCTCTTCACGTGCAATGACTCGTTGCTGCCTCCCTGTTAGGTATTCCCTGATCTATTGCAGTGCCCTCCCTGTTATATGCGCCTGATCCTCCAGCTTCTGCACTAATCTCTTGTGGGGAACTGTGTCAAAGGCCTTCCTGCAGTCTAGGAAAACACAATCAACCCACCCCTCTCTCTCGTGTCTTACTTCTGTTACCTTGTCATAAAACTCCATGAGGTTTGTGACACAGGATTTGCCTTCCATGAACCCATGCTGGTTTTCATTTATAATCTTGTTCCGTTCCAGGTGTTCCACCACTCTCCTCCTGATAATCTTCTCCATGACTTTGCACACAATACATGTCAGAGACACAGGTCTGTAGTTTAGTGCCTCATTTCTGTTTCCTTTCTTAAATATGGGGACTAAATTTGCTGTCTTCCATTTCTCAGGTAGTTGCCCAGTTTCAAGGGATGTGTTGAAGATTGCGGTTAGTGGCACGCACAGCATCTCTGCTCCTTCTCTTGTGTGTGTTTGCTCACATAGTTGTAATCACCTAGTTGTGGTTGCATGGGTCGAGTCACAGTTGCTGGCCCCTCCCCTTTACTAGCCTCACTTAGGTCACTCTTCCTGCTCTGTGAGCCTTATCATACTTCTTTTTAAAGCTATGAAGGGATTCTGCCTCCACTACATCACTTCCTAACATCCCTGTGATTCATCTGAGTCTTCAACTTCCAACTATGACCCCTTGTTGCTGTGCCCCATCTCTGAAACATCCTGTCTCTATCCACATTGTCAATTCTTCTGTATTTTATGTGTCCTTATCATATCCCCCTTATCTCCCCTGTCCTCCAGTGTCATCAGGTCAATTTCCTTAACCTTTTCTCGTAGGACATTCCCCTTAGCTCCAGGACCAGTCTTGTTGCAAACCTTCGCACTTTCTCAAATTTCCTTACGTGCTTGGCTAGGTGTGGGTTTCAAAATGGTGCTGCATACTCCAATATAGGCCTAACATACACCGTGTACTGGGTCCTGAACGATTCCTTATTGAGATGTCGAAATGCTATTCTTAGGTTTGCTAGGCACCCGTATGCTGCAGAAGATATTTGGTTGATTTGCGCCTCAGGAGATGTGGCCAGTGTTATGCTCACCCCAAGATCCTTTTCCTTGAGTGAGGTTTGTATTCTCTAGCCCCTTAGACTGTACTCCATCTGAGGTCTTCTTTGCCCTTCCCAATCTTCATGACTTTGCAATTGGTGGGGTTGAACTCTAGGAGCCAATTCCTGGATCCTGCCTGCAGCCTGTCCAGATCCCTTTGTAGTTCTTCCTAGTCCTCGTCCAATTGAATTCTTCTCATCAACTTCACATCATCTGCAGACAGGGATACTTCTGAGTGTATTCCTTCCATCATGTCATTTACATATATCAGAAACAGCATCGGTCCTAGGACTGACACCTATGGAAGCCTGCTCATAACAGGTATCCGCTCTGACATCTCGTCATGTACCATGACTTGCTATAATGTTCCTGACAAGTATTCCCTCATCCATTGCAGTGCCTTCCCTATTATCCCTGCCTGGTTCTCTAGCTTTTGCACTACTCTCTTGTGTGGAACTGTCAAACACCTTCTTACAGTCCAAGAAAATGCAATCCACCCACCCCTCTCTCACCTGTCTTACTGCTGTCACCCTGTCATAGAAATCCAGTAGGTTTGTTACACAGGATTTCCTGTCTCTGAAGCCGTGCTGGTTGTGGTTGATAAGCTCATTCGTTTCTAGGTGTCCCATCACACTTCTGATAATCTTCTCTATGACTTTGTATACTATACATGTCAGTGACACTGGTCTGTAGTTTAATGCTTCATGTCTGTCTCCTTTTTAAAAAATTGGGACTACATTTGCTCTCTTCCATACCTGTTTCCAAAGATGTGTTGAAGATTTTCGTTAGTGGTATACACATCACCTCTGCTCCCTCTCTCAGGATCTATGGAGAGATGTTACCCGGCCCCATCACCTCTGAGGTATCTAGCTTGCTTAGCAGCCTCTTCACTTTTTCCTCGGTGTATGTATTGTGTCCAGCACTTGACACAATACATACAATCTTATTTCTGGAGTCCGTTCTGTCTCCTCAGGGAACACTTCTTTGAAACTCATGTTGAGCTCCTCACATACTTCACGGTCATTTCTAGTGATCTAACCTCCTTCCTTCCTCAGCCTGATTACCTGTTCCTTGACTGTTGTTTTCCTCCTGATGTGGCTGTACAACAGTGTGTGTGTGTGTGTATGTTTGTGTGTGTTCATCAAAAGATCCACTGTAAAGGAAGACATAGGAGGTCAGATAATTTCGTTACATGAAAAAGCCTTCTGAGGTTTGCTAATCTGGTACAAGATTATCATTGTCATGACTTGAAGTAACTTCACATCAATGAGCTTTAACCTAACTTCCTTTGACTTGGCAGAGAATTATAGGGTCGATATTTTCTTTTCCTTCAGACAGATTGAAGTTGTAATTCGACGCTATGAGCAAAAATTTCACAGTTATGTATTTGATGTAATTATAATATACGACGGCTAGACTGTAGTTACTGAAACTTACATGTTGAGGTAGTCATATATAAGAGAACATGTTGAGGTAGTCACATATAAGAGAACATGTTGAGGTAGTCATATATAAGAGAACATGTTGAGGTAGTCACATATAAGAGAACATGTTGAGGTAGTCACATATAAGAGAACATGTTGAGGTAGTCATATATAAGAGAACATGTTGAGGTAGTCATATATAAGAGAACATGTTGAGGTAGTCATATATAAGAGAACATGTTGAGGTAGTCATATATAAGAGAGAACAGAGCATCTCTGTCATTGGGTATTTTAATTAAACATATTTTTCAGTGTAATTTCTAATTTCTACCCCTTAATATTTCATTTCTAATTTATGTGGCATCCCTTCTCTCTCTCTCTCTCTCTCTCTCTCTCTCTCAGCTCTCTAAGAGCTCTTTCCTAGGTCCGTCTCTCTCTCTCTATCATGGTACACTAGGTACTCACCCTGAGCGCTCCTGCCTCCAGTACAACCAGGCAGTAGTCAGTGTTGCCAGCAGCCAACAGTAGGAGCGCGTCTGCACGATGCGTTTTAAGGCGCAGTGAGATCTCCGTGGCGCTGCGAGCTTCCTGCAGGGGCAGCGACACGTAGGAGGCGCCGAAGAAGGAGGCTGCAGAGAACCAAAGAACGGTGTTAGCAAACAGTGAGCTGAGAGTATCGCAGAAGGGATAAAAGTGTTAACAATAAATCATGAAAGGAGACATGCCAATTTTTCGTTGTCTTTATGTCTAATGTATCAAAGCCTGGCTAGTCACCTGGCTTTCCTAGTGCCTTTTTTTTGGTAATTTTATGGTCCTAATATTCAGGCACAATATGGGTTCGTGTTAATTTATTTAGGAAAAATTTTAGCGTCTTCTTCCCAAAATGCAAATTGGATCATGCTAGAGGTTCTGATCCCCGGTAGTCTTGTCTGGACACCAGTTCAAGGCTGACAGACCGGCAACATACAGTACGGAATTCAGTACGGTACAATATTTAAAGTACCGTACAGTATTTTCCTTATGGTACGGTACGGCACTTTCATGTACGAAAAACAAGAAATACCGTACAGTACAGAACTTGCAGCCTTGACAATGTAGCGAAATTCGCCTCCGGATTGCAGAAATTGGTGATACTTTTGAGTACCTGGTGATAGAGGATAGAACATTAAGTGTGACACAAGGCAAAACCTGGTGAAACCTGGTGACGTTCCCTCACCAAATGTCGGGAAGGAACATGAGGATATATTCAAGCGGTGCAGTACTTGGACCAGACCTCAATTTTTGAGATTTTAATACCAAAATAAGGACTGGATGTCACAGAGATTTTTAGTAAGATCGATCCTTCAGTTGTATGTAGTCATATTATGGAGACTTCAGAATCCCTCTAGACGCATGTTGCGAGGCAACCTTTATAAACAATACCTTGTCGGCAGATCTTGAGTATATCAGTTTTGGGGCTATAATTAATTAATGGTTGAGCCTACAAAAATTTATCACTTATTAAAATTTCTTTAAAATGACGTAGTTTATAATTGCTTTGGAAAATACATATGTAGAAGTATTTTCAGTAATATTCCAGAAAGCAGATTTTTGGTAGTATTTCAAGTCCATATAACTCACTATAATTTTGACTAATTAAAATAAATGACTGAAATTTGCCCGTTAACATACAGTCAGACACTCTTTTGGTCCATTATCGTTCTTTATACGACACCGTTAAGTCTTATTTATAACCAATTTAAATATCTTTGAACAGAGAATCAAAATATATTTGGGTCGTAAATGTCCTAGACATAATAATGAATTTCAAACTTCCTGTAATTGATACGTAGAAATATATAATAAGTAAAATACTATAAAAAGAACGGTCATTTTTGTTATTATTTTCTGTAACAGTTTGTCGCGAATTAATCAAATAATTATTCTTGTTGTGAGTTCATTTTAACCCGATTCAGTCTGAATCAGGTTAAACTGAACTCACAACAAGAACAGTACACAAAACATAGACAGGTCCTCTCATAGAGTGAGAGTATCACGTAAATTTAAAAAATCTAGATATGATTGTGTCGGATAATCAGATGTTTAGAAAAACACAATAGGGAAAATAAAACTTTAAACTGAAAAAAATGATATGTAAGCTGGCAACGCCGTCTGAGATCCGGTTGTTGACTCTTAATTCCTTCTCTTGTAGCATTCTTCTCTAGTCCCATTCTTCTCTAGCCCCACCCTTCTCTAGTCCCATCCCTCTCTAGTCCCATCCTTCTCTAGTCCCATCCTTCTCTAGTCCCATCATTCTCTAGTCCCATCCTTCTCTAGTCCCATCCTTCTCTAGTCCCATCCTTCTCTACTCCCATATTTCTCTACTCCCATCCTTCTCTACTCCCATTCTTCTCTAGTCCCATCCTTCTCTAGTCCCATCCTTCTCTAGTCCCATCCTTCTCTAGTTCCATCCTTCTCTTCCTTCATCCTTCTCTAGTCCCATCCTTCCCTACTTTCATCCTTCTCTACTTCCATCCTTCTCTACTTCCATCCTTCCCTAGTCCCATCCTTCCATTGTGATGTAGTTCAGCTGGGCTTGTGAGGTCTCAACGGAGATCTAATTATATGGCCACCTTGCCTTGGCAAGTGGCTAAGCAGCCACGCCTTTTCGGCTTAAGTCTCAGCTCCTTTGTTCGTCACTGGCGTCAGATCTCGGCGTCAGGTCGTACACGTGGTGCACACCTCATTGTGGAGGGTGCTTGGACCACCATATAAGCCCAAGGAAGAGCATGATCGGGGGACTTCGAGCGGAGCTGCTGCTGTGTGCAGAGCTCTCAGCAGGGAGAGTCAAGCAGAGCTGTGGTGGGGCAGAGCTCTGATCTGACAGAGCTCTCTGTTGGAGACATTGGGCAGAGTACTGGCTTGGAGCAGTACTTGTGCTGTATATGTCTTGGGACCTGTGGGTTAGTTCCTGTGGTGAACTGTCCTCTGAACTATATTGTAAGTTATATTCATTTTGGTCAAGTTGATTGTATTCCCTGTCTCACTGCTTATACATACCACCCCATTTATCTAAACACAATAATGTACTCCTGTTCCCAAATATATTATTGTACAAAGACTTAATTATAAACTGTGTTTGAGTAGAATAGTAACATTCACTGTCCCCGTTATTTGCTCTTTTATTCATTATTTTATTTCAAGTAGTGAGAGGGTGAGTAGTGTGGTGAGTAGTGTGGTGAGTAGTGTGGTGGGTAGAGTAATGAGAGGTGAAGATGTAGTCAACAGTGGCCTCACATTACCTACCTCCGCTAATCATCTCTCCTACCACCTCGCCTGCCTATCCCCTGCCTACATAACCCCTTACTCCCATATTCCCCGATTATTAATTACATATCAAATCCCACCGCTGCCACCATGTCACCATGTCCTATCCTTCTCTAGTCCCATCCTTCTTTAGTCCCATCCTTATCCAGTCCCATCCTTCTCTAGTCCCATCCTTCTCTAGTCCCATCTTTCTCTAGTCCCATCCTTTTCTATTTTCTAGTCCCATCCTTATCCAGTCCCATCCTTCTCTAGTCCAATTCTTCTCTAGTCCCATCCTTCTCTAGTCCCATCCTTTTCTAGTCCCATCCTTATCCAGTCCCATCCTTCTCTAGTCCAATTCTTCTCTAGTCCCATCCTTCTCTAGTCCCATCCTTTTCTAGTCACACCTTATCCAGTCCCATCCTTCTCTAGTCCCATCCTTCTCTAGTCCAATTCTTCTCTAGTCCCATCCTTCTCTAGTCCAATTCTTCTCTAGTCCCATCCTTCTCTACTTTCATCCTTCTCTACTTTCCCCCTTTTATACATCCATCCTTTTAGCATGTTATTATATATAATCAGATGTATAGTGTTACATCCTGCAGTGTTACCTAGCCAGGTGTATAGTGTTACATCCTGCAGTGTTACCCAGCCATGTGTATAGTGTTACATCCTGCAGTGTTACCCAGCCATGTGTATAGTGTTACATCCTGCAGTGTTACCCAGCCAGGTGTATAGTGTTACATCCTGCAGTGTATGGTAGCAGCGTTTTACAGCTGTTATACATCCTGCAGTTTATAAGCCAGTGTACAGTGTTACATCCTGCAGTTATATAGCCAGGTGTACAGTGTTACATCCTGCAGTTATGTAGCCAGGTTTACAGTGTTACATCCTGCAGTTATATAGCCAGGTGTACAGTGTTACATCCTGCAGTTATATAGCCAGGTGTATAGTGTTACAGCCGCAGTTTACATTTCTGTAGGTTTCATATTCTTTGAGTAGGAGCCCAAAACTGAATGCTGTGTTTGCATATTGGATCCCTTTCATTTTTTTTTTTTTTTGGGGGGGGGGCTTGCTTTAAGCTCCTCTGCCTTTCCTGTACTCTGCTTAATTCTGAGAAATTTTGTGATTCTTCGTCTTTGCCTGTATAGAGATCATCTCTCTGTTTCTAGATTACATCTTCTCTTCTTTTCCTTAGTGGTATGTGCCTTTACGACATACTACTAATATGATGGAAATGATCCTCTCTATGCATTAGTTCTGATCCGTTTTATTTAACATATCTTACCAGTATGTTTCATGATTTATTTGAGCCCAGTCAATAACACCCTCATGGCTATTTGTTTTGCTGCTCATGTGATGTGGGTTTGATAACGTGGATGGGGTAAAAATACTCACGTAGGCTGGTAGTACGTATAATATATAACGGAAAGTATGGGAAGCGCCAACAGCCGACCTGCCTCTCTCTGCTTCCTATCTCAGACTGACTCACCAGTGCCTAGCGGGTAAGGCATTCAAAAATATGCTATGGTCAGCAGCAACATGAATAACAGTCAGTGATTCACACAGACGGTTGGTAGTGAGTCATCTACTGGTAACTGGTTACTAGGAACTGGTACTACTACTGAGAGCTCGCCTGCCTCTCTCTGCTCCCTATCTTAGACTGACTCACCAGTGCCTACGGGTGAGCAGTCTTTGAAAACATGCTATGGTCAGCAGCAACGTGAATAACAGTCAGTGGTTCACACAGACGGTTGGTAGTGAGTCATCTACTGGTACACTGGTTACTGGTAACTGGTTACTAGGAACTGGTACTACTACTGAGAATCGAACCCACATGACACTCAGACCCCATCTGCATGAAGGTCTGAACTTCGACTAGGCTGTGGTCTGAATTCACAGTTCGTGAATATGAAGAAAGCGTATTTTCTAGTCTTGTCGGTTCTACTATTCACGGGTTAAAGGTGAATCTATAACAGACAGAGAATTAATAGATCATTTGTGTGAGACTGTTCATCTAAGCTGGGTCCTTTAATTCTCTCTGGTATTACAATATTTGCAACTCTCTCTTCCGTTTTAGATATCTTGAGCTGAAGTTAACAAGCAACGCGATGTTTGAGGCCGAGACTAAGAGATAATCCAGCCAAGACTATTCTCAAAATTTGACTTCAAGTTGCTGGGAAGTTGCATCTGGTGCTTTATAATCAAGTGCAATAAATAAATTTATGTTTTCAGTTTTTACCACCAAGACTTTTACTACATCACTTGTGCTGTTAAGTAACTCATTACAGCCATATCCTGGGAACCAGGATGTAAACATTGTTAATATAATTACTCTAGTGACATT